CTTATTTTCCCTTACCCAAGTGAGGCCGACAGCACACAACTTGGTTATATAGTTATAAACAATTCAAGTTAGACTCATTATGATCGATTTGCAATACGCCCAGACATGAGCCAAATGACTAAAACGATATAGGCCTAAAAATGACCTAAACAACATCACTAAGCCCTAAAATAATTTAAAATTTACGGACATACTTACAACCGTCGAATGCTACGCCAACAAGACTTTACGCACACGTCTAGATTCCACGGTACAAAAACTTTGCGGTCACTGGTGCCTCTCATGGTAACCCGGAAGTTACATCACTGCTGATGTGGTAGAATCTCTCTTGGGGTTTTCCATATTTCCGTTCAAAAAACGTAACATCTCATTTCACGTTGTAAGTTCGGGCTCCGGACCGGATCCGGGCTTGATTTGAACGTAGCTTCAAGCCAACTATTTTTACCGTTTTGGTACTGTACTGATACCTTTGAATATTTATATCTTTTAAAATTCATCTTCACCCACTCTGTTCATTCTTACCCTATTTACCGTTGGAAACAAATCAAATAGGCCTACTTACTTTATTAAATTCAAATTGGGCCGTACTACCCCATGAGCGCATTTTTTGAACAATCTTTTTTTTTCACAACATTCGTAATAATTTTGTTTCTTAGGAGTGATGTTTTGCCCTACCTGACGTGTAATCGTACTGAATACTCTGTACGGTACGTCCCCAAATACTAGCAAGTGATTCGGGTGGGAATCGAACCCACGACCTCCAGGTATCTAGCCTGATGTCTTAACCACTAGACCACCGAGCTTGCGCTTGGTGACTAGTGATGAATTTGATCCCCTAATAGCAGCGGGTACTGCAAGTGTTATTAGGAAATGAGTTTGCGTCAGGAAGTAGGGCATAACATCCCTCCTATGATAATTTCATAATTTAATGACTTGCAGGTCGTGGGTTCGATTCTCACCCGAATCACTTACGAATTTTTTTCGCTAGTATTTGGGGACGTACGTACTGAGTATTTAGTACGATTACACGTCAGGTAGGGCAAAACATCACTCCTACGATAATGTCCTGAAGCAAACTCATTTCCTAACTTTGTTTCTATCTCGATTAATAATGAGTTTTAAAAACATGCCTTTATTTTCATTTTGCTTTTGAAGTCCTAATTTTTCTTCCTTCATTTTAGTTCTAGTAGGGCCTAGTCAGCTTTATCATTGTTTTGATTTTAGTTACTTTTGAATTGTACGTTTGTAAACATAGTTTCTGTATTTTTGCTGTATTTATGCAATAGGGCTTCCTTTCGAAAGTGTTGCTAGTCATTGAATGGATACTTTCTGCTATCGCAAGCAGCCGGCAAGAAGCTCGGAAATTTCTCCCAGGCAAATATATAAATTTAAACAAAAATATACTATGGTATACTGTCACAAGTAATGATTGTCAATCTATCAATTTAGAATCAATTAAATTAAACAAAAACAACTGGAAACGCTAAAGCGAGGACAATTAATTTGTGACATTTATTAAAACATGTTTGCTGTCCTCTATTATCGATTGTCAAACTTGTTATAATAATAATGTTATTTTTGCAATCTATTCAACTCGATAAACTAACAACGTTAGCCTACTATAGGATGTTAACTTATTTGACATGAACCAGGGACTGTATTTTGAAAAAAATTAGCTTTTGGCATTGTATATCCAGAGAACTGTTCCCTGGTATATCATTCATTGGACAAATTAAACAGCTTTCACACTGGCCATGGCAGACTCTTGCAACCACCAGTGAAACGACCAGACCAGCCAGCCAGAAAATAAACTTTCTGTACTTCAATTAGTTTATTTTCTTATACTTTATGGGTGCGTTTTGTGAGCAAACTGAGCCTTGGCGCTTAGAGGAATATATAGGGCAGAGGCCTGGTGGGGGTCAGTGAGATTCTCCGTCAAAGTAGCACTTTGAGGAACATATTTTTAATGGATTTCTGAAACCCATAATTCGTTAATATTTTAAATTTCCAATCATTTAGGTGTTGTAGGGACCTGAAGGTAAATGTAAAGTTTCTTATGATTTTGTTTGTTGCGTGCATTGTGTTATTAAATTGAAAAATATTATGCATTTCATTTGTCAGCTCTTTTAAACCGTTGCAAATAAATTCAATAAATTTGTTGCAAATTGATTAACTCTGTTGACTGCAGATTGATCAAACAAAAAAATGTGATATAATGTAGTCCTGCAGTGTATCGCCTTTCCCATGTCATCGGGTAATTTTCCGAAATCCCTAACAAACACTCAGATTAATGAAAATTTAGGCCTAAATAGGCCCTGTAATTTTTACGAATTATGCGTTCCATAAAACTTTTTGAATGCAGCACTCTCTCACTTGTTACGCTAACAAATTCTAATTTTGCGATGATTGAAATTTAAGTGGTGGCGCCAGTCAGTCAGTTAGCTAGTTGCCATCATCAAGTCTATAATTGCTCTCTGGGTTTCATATCTCTTACCATTTTATAACATATATTTTTTCAATATTATTATTAACTGAAAGAATACAAACGGAAGAACATGTTGACAGCTCTGAGTTGTTCCAAAGGTGTCAATCGGACGTTTTGTGTTATTTTTAGGTAATAGGGTGCTGTACATAATCTCTTTCTCAGATTACCTTATTATTCCACTCGATTCAGTCAATCGTAGTCTGTCAATTGCACAGGTCTTTATGTATTGACTCAGTTGACTGATTCCCCGACGGCTAGCGGTAACTCAATCTTTAGATGGCAAATAGGAATCGTTCTTCATGGTTTTTTGTTGCGTGTGAAATAAGAATAATTTACACAAGATTTCAATAGTTACTCTACACCTAATTGTTATCAGAAAAAAAAACCCCAGAAATATGACGAAAGTGCGGTTGTCGAATCGGTATATTAGAATAATGTTAATTTAATTGAACAACTTTCTTCTGTGTAATACAGTGGAGGTAATCCAGTGGAGATATATAGCATATATTGAGGTCCAACCAACGGGGGTAAAGGGGAGGTGGTGTGTTGATCTAACGAGAAGCTTCATCCCCTCCACGCCACCCCAGCCTTGACGCCGCCGCCTAGTGGGTAAATGGACCAGATAGATACTCGCTGTCTACCAGTGGAACTATGGAGAAAAAATACTAAATATTAAATATATTTCCATTGGAACTTAAAGAACGTTTATGTTTGTTTTAATAGAGCAGGGTGGATCCAGATGCACAATAAACTATGCGTTGTTATTATGGGATGTAATTATAGACACTAAAATGAGGATTATGATTAGGCCTACTACATCCACAAGCCAAGGACTCGATGTGCCCAAGGAGGTACAAAAATCCTCCTTGATTTGCCTGTGGAAGTAGAACCACAGTTATAGTAAAATGCTTATTCAATTCGGCACACAATTTAATTACAAGAACATGTAATAATAAAACAATAACAAGTAACAAAATGTAAATTATTGCCAAGCGCGAACTGAATCACTATGAACAATAATATGCCTATAGGCCTAAGTAGGTCTACCTCATGGTTAACCCCTCGTGTGTCCACCACCAATACGCACTGTGAAGGGGTTGCTGCAAGGAACTTGTCAGGGATGTACCTGGGCCAAAGGTGTAAGTACGTGTATTTCTTAATAGAGTAATATTTATAAGAGTGGGAGGAAAATCGGTGAATGACGCATATTAGGACAAAATCCTAATAATTGTCCATGTGCTTACTGTAGGTGAATCTAAATCAGTAGGCCTATCGACTTGAGAAGGGTGTATCTACTGAATTTGTATTAATTGTTTACTGGCTTATTAAAACCGGCAGTGCTTCCCAACGTTTTTGCGTTCGCGGACTCCTTTGGACATGTAAAATTGTTCACGTAACCCCATGTCTAAATATACTCACTTTCCATATCCCAACATTTTTTTTTTATGTATATGGCATTTCTAGGTGGCCGGAAATGGCACTGTCCGGCTCAAAATTTGAAGGTAATTTTATTTTATTCCCAATTAATTTTTAATTTATGTAAAATTTGTGGCGACTCATGGTTGATATTCCACCAATAAGATTATGATAGAATATGATTCGCCAAATTACGACATCTGGGATCTTGGAATTCGACATGGACAGGGAATAGGGGAATTACGCCTTCAGTCACACGCTGGTTGGGGCCGAGGTACGGTTTTTTTTAGGTTTATGGCACTTCTAGATGGCCGGAGATGACACTGTCAGATCCAAAATTGGAATGTGATATTCTGTTATCCCTAATTTACTTTTAATTTTTTTCAAATTTAGAGCTCTCTTTATTTTTAAAATTTGTTCAATATCCAGGAAAAAGCAATACAAGAGAAAACATGGAAACAAGATGACAATTACGTGAGGATCTATTTAGTATACTAAACATAAAAAATACATTTAAAAAAAACTAATTCAAAAGACTCTATTAGATCACCAATAAAATATTGGAATTAAAATATAAAACCAGTTAAAACAATTTACAGTGAACGAAGTCATGATGGGTATTTCATTATTGTCAAGGCATGATCACACTGTTCTAAGACAAGAGAAATAATTAAATCATGAACATTGTTCTAATAATCTAGCAGACCCCCAATTTTTTTCGCAGACCCCTAAATTTTTCGCGGACGAAAAAACGAAAATTTTTTAAGCAATTCAATTACCAGCATGAAGGCTAATGCTACACAATTTCCATATTATTATTATTTGCATAGATACTTAAACTTGCTAATAATTATAGATTTAAGTGGTCGCATGCATGCGGTCTTGTGCGTTCATTGTCACTATTATGTGACTGGAAGCTGGGACCCCACGGGTTCCCCTGAACCCCCAGAGGCCCACCCCACCTCTCCCTTCCTATTGGTGCAGTCACGCATTTCAAATCTTTCAGGTTGTTAATGTAATTTGCAAATAAGGTCCACGGTTAGGTCTCGCTACAGAAGCTGTCTCTTATACACATCTGGATGTGTATAAGAGACAGATATAAATACCTGTCATCCAAGACTGAATTGTTTTGGTCGGTATCACTGCAAATTGATAATTTATTTGAATGAAAAATTCTATTTTAGTATTTCTATGTTGGGATTTTTTCATGAAGTGCAGAAAGCATACCTCTCCGGACTTTTAAAACAAACCTAACTGACCAATCAGAACGGGGAAAAGAACGCGCAGGTCATTTTGTGGGACCATAGCAACAATATAGAAAAGAGTGAGCATAGCCGATAGGTTGATCACCTGTGGGAAATCCTGGGTCTACACATTAGTCTCAATAAAAAAATAAATAAATAAAAAAAAT